ATGCATTCACCAGAAGTCCAAATCACGTCGTTACACAATATATCCATGTGAAATAGTTTGGATGCTTGTCACCTCTAAATCTCATGTTGAAATGTTCATCTGTATTACCACAGTTGCCTCCTCACTGGCCTTTCTGTCTTTAGTTTGATTCCCTTTGATCCATCCTCTATCCAGGTACTGGAATGACCTTTCTAAAAATCAAATCACACACTTTCTCCCTACTTCTTACAAAACCCATCTAAACTTCCCCATGGCTTTAGGCATATAGTTTTAATTTTCTTCCTTTTAACGTAGGAGCCTCTAGGACCTGTACCCTGCCTATCTCACTATTCACAATAAGAAGATTAATAGTAGGAGTAGTCATTATGTATTATGCAATATTTTAAGCATTTAATATACCATAATTCATTTAATAGTTGTAAACCCCATGAGGTAGATACAGAGAGGTTATATAACTAGCCCAAAGACACTCGGCTGAGAGAGGTGGAACTAGGATTCAAACCAAAGCTAGCAGGCTCCAAAGTCCTGACAGTGGCAAGGCTAAGCTGCACTCCATCACACTGCATTTCCTCTAGCCACCCTCGGCCACTTGTAGTTCCCTAAACAATTCACATTGCCCAGTTTTTGTACATGTTGTGCTCTCTACTTGAAATATCCCTTTTCTCTTTCATCTAGCTCACTCCTCTCTGTCATTTAAGACTTCTAACCAGGTGCAGTGGCTTACACCTATAATCCCAACACTTAGGGAGGCCAAGGCTGGAAGATTGCTTGAGCTCAGGAGTTTGATACTTGCCTGGGCAACATGGTAAAACCCCGTCTCTACAAAAACTACAAAAGTTAGCTGGGTGCAGTGGCACATGCCAGTGGTCCCAGCTACTCAGGAGGCTGAGGTGGGAGGATCACTTGAGCCTGGAGGTTGAGGCTGTGAGGGTTGATGGCTGCAGTAAACATGTGATTGTGTACTGCCTCCAGTCTGTCTGACAGAGTGGAGATGCTGTCTCTCTCTCTTTTTTTTTTTTTTTGTGATTGTGCTACTGCACTCAGTCTGGTCTGGACAGAGTGAGATGCTGTCTCTCTCTCTTTTTTTTTTTTTTTTTTTTTTTGAGACGTAGGCTCGCTCTTAGTTGCCCAGACTGGGAGTTGCAGTGGCGTGATCTTGGGCTCACTGCAACCTCCGGCACCCTGGGTTCAAGTGATTCTCCTGCCTCAGTCTCCTGAAGTAGCTGGTGGACTACAGGCGTGTGTTCACCATGCCCGCTAATTTTTTTTTTTTTTTTGTATTTTGGTGAGACAGGGTTTTCACTATATTGGCTCAGGGCTGATCTTTAACCTCTGGCTTGTGATCCACCCGCCTCAGCATCCCAAAGTGCTGGGATTACAGGCGTGAGCCACCACACCCAGCCGAAGATGCTGTCTCAAAAAATAAAAAAGACTATTAGTGCCACTTCCTGCATTCAATAAATATTACCTTGGTGCCTGTTCTGTGCATTGCTTTATTCCACAAGAGCCATTGGATGGAGAATCATGGTGACAGAAAAACAAAACAAAACAAACAAAGAAACCTGTGATGTGACTTATGGATTAATTGAGATGAGGATGTTTCCCAGGATTGGTCCAGATGAGAATAGACTGCTCCATTTCTTCCATACCAGATCCAGAGTTAAAGAGCTTTGGCAGAGCAAATCAGAATAAACTTTGATTCCAGACGCTAAAGAGTACAATTATCATCTAATGGTATACTTACCAGAAAGCCTAAATTCTCACTTTTAGAAGAGTGTCGTAAGTGAAATAACTCAGAAGCAGAAAATCAAATACCACATGTCCTCACTAAAAAAGGGGTACACATGGACATACAAATGGAAATAACAGACACTGGCAACTCCAAAAGGCAGGAGGGTGAGAGGAAGGTGAGGGTTGAAAGATTACCTATTGGGTACAATGTTCACGTTTTGGATGATGGATGCATTCACCAGAAGTCCAAATCACGTCGTTACACAATATATCCATGTGAAATAGTTTGGATGCTTGTCACCTCTAAATCTCATGTTGAAATGTAATCCCCAGTGTTGGAGGTGGGGCCTGGTGGAAGGTGTTTGGATCACTGGAGCAGACCCCTCATGAATGGCTTAGTGCCCTCTCCATGGTAACGAATGAGTTCTTACTTTATTAGTTACTGTGAAATATGAATGTTTAAAAGAGCCTAGTATCTCTCTTTCTGCCTGTCTCACCATGTGACATGCCTGCTCCCCTTTCACCTTCCATCATGAGTAAAAGTTCCCTGGGGCCTACCCAGAAGCTCAGCAGATGCTAGTGTCATGCTTGCACAGCCTGCAGGACCATGAACCAAATAAGTCTCTTTCCTTTGTAAATTACCCAGTCTCAGGTATTCCTTTATAGCAATGCAAAACAGATTAATGCACCAGGGAACAAACCTGCACATGCACCTCCTGAATCTAAAGTAAAATTAAAATAAAATGAATACAAAAAGGAAAAAAATTACTTCTAACATGCATGGACACAGCTCTCATTTTCTCTATCTTACAGTGATGCAAATGGTAGTAAAAGATCCCGAAGTACGCTAGGATTTCTTCTTTTCAATAATTACATCCATCCTTTCCATGGATACAGTATTACATATTTTTCAAATATGTAAACAAATTTGATTCTGTACAAGAATCCTGTGCGGGAAGTACTGATAAGCCAGTATTACTATCCCTATTTCGGACTTGAGAAAGTAAGGCTCAGAGAGGTAAGCTAAGTTTACTAGCATAATAAATGGAAAACCCAAGTCTACATTTTCTGAATCTTGATCCCGCACATATTCCCAAACTACCTTTGATGAAACACATATACATGCCATGAGACAGGTCTCTCAGGCAGCTGTAATCATGGGTAACCTACTTTAAGAAAATCTTAGCTATAAACATTCAGATGAAATAATGGGCAAATAATAAAGGAAGGTGATGAATTATTTTGTACTTTAAAAGAGAGGTGTGTTTGTTTGTTTGTTTGTTTGTTTTTGAGATGGAGTTTTGCTCTTGTTGCCCAGGCTGGAGTGCAATGGTGTGATCTCAGTTCACTGCAACCTCCACCTCCCGGGTTCAAGCGATTCTCCTGTCTCACCCTCCCAAGTAGTTGGGATTACAGGCATGCACCACCACGCCCAGCTAATTTTGTATTTTTAGTAGAGACAGGGTTTCTCCATGTTAGTGAGGCTGGTCTCAAACTCTCAACCTCATATGATCCACCCGCATCAGCCTCTCAAAGTGCTGGGATTACAGGCATGAGCCACCGTGCCCATCCTATAAAGAGAATTACATGATTTATTTAATCTTTTGGATTTATTTAATTTTTGAGCACAATAAATGTTTGAATATTTTTTAAAAAACAGTCTTCCCAAATTAAATCCTTGCCCTTTTCCTCTCTGGTCAAAATACCACCCTCTTCTCCCCTTTGACTTTGATTCTTTAATTGACCCCAGTGGACTCTATTAACAACAATGTCTTTGTTGAGCAGTTTGGGGATTACATCATGTGGGACATTGCCCTTTATCCAGCTGTTACAGAATGAACTAAATACCCATGACCCAACTAGATACAACTTAAAGTGCAGAGGATTGGAGAATGTGAGCCTGGAGAATACCATTCCTGGCTTCCAGCAAACCTAGTGGTTAAGAGGTCATAAGCCAGCTCTGAGTTTGAAACCAAACTCCACGACTTGGTCTTGGGACATTAACTCTTTAAGCCTTCATTTTCTCATCTGTGAAATGTTGTCACATGTAATATAATGTGTACTCCATATAACAGTAGTGTTACATGAGATATATAGAGAGTGCTTAGCACAATGCCAGGTTCATAGTAAATCCTCAAAAAATGTCAAGTAGATAATTATAATAGTAGCTATTATTATCATTATTCAAGAGAACTGAATCAACACATTAGTCCATCTTAATCTCAGTTCATCTTAGTCTTAGATTAAACGTGTGAACTTTTGTCTTTACAAAGCCATGTTGGTTTTTAAAAACCAACAAATTCTGCAAATTACTGGGGATAAATACAAACTGGCTGATCGGTGATTTGCCTCAGTATTTTTCCAGGTATTAAAGCC